GTGGCCTGTCCTTCCACGTAAGCCCTAACCCGGCGGATGGTTCCGAAATTTACATCCAGTCTGCAACACGCAGTGAAGGCAATGTGGAAATATCCATCGTTGATATGGCCGGCAAAAGCTGGTATCAGCAATCTGCCACCTTCTCCGGCGATCGTCTGCCGATCAGTGTAAAGGCAATGCCTGCAGGTATCTATATGATCCGTGTACAGCAAGGCGAAACGGTACAATCCGTTAAGCTGGTGCGGCACTAATCAGCTACATTTTCTGAAAGGCCGGAGCACATCGTCTCCGGTCTTTTAATTTAAAGCCATTTCCAAACCTTATTTTTTTGAGCACAAAACCTGTTTATATCCTGGGGACCGGGCTTTCTCATGACGGCTCTGCCTGTATCCTGAAGGATGGGCGCATTGCCGTGGCCATTGAGAAGGAACGACTGACCCGTATCAAACATGATGGTGGCAATGATGCTGCAGCTGTTCAATATTGCCTCGATGCCTTAAACATACCACTCACCGACCTGGACCTGATTGTGCAGGTAGCCAATTTTGAGAAAGAGATCAGTCCGCAACACTATGCCGGGAAGCGGTTGTACCACGCTGATGTGCCGGTGGTCACCATCTCCCATCACCTGGCCCATGCCTGGAGCGCCATAGCCACCAGCCCTTTCCAGGCGACCAATGTATTGGTGATTGATGGTGCGGGCAGCCCGGCAGCCCAGTGCGATGACTGGCCGGACGAAGCCACCCGCCAATACTGGTGCTCGCTGCCAGGCTTCTATTGTGAGAAAGATAGTTTTTACCATTATGATGGGCAGGAACTGACAGTATTGAAAAAAGATTTTTCAGAATGCAGGCTTTTTGATCAATCTGCCGGTGGTCTGAAAATGCCTACTACTTATCATTCAATCGGAGGTATTTATGCTGCTGCCAGTCATTATTGTTTTGGCAATCTTGACGACGTTGGCAAGTTAATGGGCCTGGCCCCTTACGGGCACGATCCCTATACACACATTCCTATCTTTTCCCTGGAAGGTGGCACCGTGCAGGTACGCCACGAAAACATGGCGGTGCTGCGAAGCCCGGCGGCTGATTATCCGGCGTTCAAAGCCAATTTTCAACATTATGCGGATGTAGCCCGGTGGGTACAAAAAGAAACCGAACGTGCGGTTCTTTACATAGCCGGCTGCCGGATGAAATTATCTCCTCATGAAAACTTATGTTATGCAGGCGGTGTAGCATTAAATGCCGTCTGCAACCAACAATTGCTCCTTAATAAAGTAGCTAACAACCTGTACCTGCAACCGGCTGCCGGCGACAATGGTCTGTCTATCGGCTGTGCATTTTATGGCTGGCAGCAGGTCTTTAAAAAAGAAAAAATTCCGCCTCAGACACCATCTGTTTTCTTCGGTAAATCGTATACAGCAACAGACATATTGCATACCCTGGAAAATCACCCG